CGAAGAACGGGACAAGATGTGGTGTCTATGCTTCAACATGGATGTATTGGTTTTGAAATGCCTAAGGTAACCGTCATAAAAAATGGTCTTCTATGGTTTGCTCTTTGTTCATCTTCGGCGTACTATCGGAGCCCCGTTGCCTGGTGGTCCGTTGACTGGAACACATGTTTAGTCATACTCTTGTGTCTAAATGCACCTTCGCTGGATGGTACTCGCGGATTATTCCTGATAGTCGGTCAAGATGACATTTAGAACACTTTCAAGCACCCGCTATGCAATAATTTGTTGATAACCGTCAGTTGTTCCGTCCTCCGGTAACTTGTCCAAACTGGTGACGTTTTGAGCATGTATGAATTCGTTCTAAAGACGTGAAACATAGTGAGAGAAACGCAGAACCATTTCTAGCGACAGTAAATTGGTTAACCCGTCAAGTCATATCAAGTCAGCTTGGGCGGCTTTTGGTCAGTTACTGAATTGCTTCCAGCTGAATTGCTGACACAACAGCTAAAACCTTTGATTGTATAGACCCTCCGAATTTTTAAATTTGCAGAGGGTTCTGGTTTGGTGCTGTCAAGATGACTCCGGGCAAAGTAGATTCCGGATTCTACAGAACTTCTTCTTACACCTATTTTAATAGGCATATATAAATACGGTATATATAGTACATTTGTTCGGAGGCTCTGAGTAAATGGGAAGTACAGCGAAGCTAGAACGATCAGCTTGAGCGGAAAGCTGCGATTGTTACTGGTGCGATGTTAGTGTTAACTCGAAAAAGAATTTGAAACCTGTGCACAGATGTCACAATTCTTACCATATCATATCAAACGTAGTTAAAGGAGTCGTTCCTGAGAATCGCCGGTGTAGACACAGATTATTTATGACGAAACAGCGTTCCGAATATTCCAACACCTGAGAACGATACTCACCTGACTGGGGCGAAAGTTTCTCGGCAAACTGATAATGATCTTTCGAGGTGGAGCACACAATATACAAATACACCTGTCTCAAATTCGATACGGTCGTCTGTTTATAACCAAAACTCGATTGAATTTGCATGGTGGATTTATCCTTTAGTATACTGCTCAGGTTCCTGCCGAATATACTTCACTATACCAATGGGCATGAGAATAGAGCCTTTTTATTCCCGACTTCCACGCTGGTTCTACAGAACCCAGTCTGTCAATACATATACACTGATGAAGTTGCAGACCGTGTCAGATAAGGGGCCATCAGTGATATTCACGGGGGGGGGGGGGGGGGGCGAATCCAGCTGAAACTCGTGCAAGATCACTGATATCATTATTTGGGAGGAAACCTCCTTTTGCTCTGAACACGTTGGCGCATATCTTTCCCCCAAACTTTGCTCCAATACCCCACCGCCAAATTGTCACTCTTTAATCGTTCACTCTCATCGGTTGCCATACTGAGGGCTGCCTTCCACGCCAGTAGACTAGCCTGGTTGTTGTGGTGTCACCTCAATTCTGAAATGACAACCAAGGTCGGGACTATCTCACTGAGATTTCAGTTAGGAATTTTGCGTTCTACAGCGCATAATCAGGCATGATTCAATTTGAGTTACAAGAGTGATAGCTAAAACAGCCAGGAGAATTAACTAACCATGCCATGTAGCACGCCTCAGCGAAAACAGTGTGAGCGTGCGTCATAGCTGCAGAAGTCCGCGGTGCCTGCTGAATTATGCATATTTTCACGTTTGTTTCACAGACATTTGTCCGGATATTCTGGGATAAGTTTAGGCTTTTATCATTATACATGCCACCGAACGATTACTACTGGGTCTTCCAGAAGTTAGTTGGAGATTCAAATACTATTGTGAACCAACTCATACATCCAAGAATTCCAAACCCTTAGTTACAGGGAGTGAAACGGACTTGATGACAAATTCAAGTAAATCGTCCACTCTGGATACGCTGTCTATTGGACAGTTTGCGTTTTTGAGCGGATTGAAAATGGTGCTTGAAATTCTGTCCTGCTCATCATGTCGGTTTAGGTAGAAACTCAATTGAAGTTGACCGAACGAGATTCAAACACGAAACTTTTCGGCCAAGCACTGAACTTTCAGCCCCCAGTGAAATGTTGTAGCACAGACAACAGCACAACACACTTTCTTGTATTAGGGCTGTTCCTATCACGCTAGTCTTGTTTTCTGGCTCATCCTGCTCATCAAAATAATCCGCCTTGATTGGCATGGACATTTAAGAAGCCGTTGATTCCCGTTTTTCAAGGCATCAAACCAGAAACTAGTGACTACTACGATACGTGGCGTAAACTCCGTGATAAACAGCTGGTGGAACCCTAGGCCTCTACAGTACAAACAACTAACACTACATATCGTCCATGATTGTATATGGCATACTGCTCTGCTCTTAAACAGTGTTTCAATTCCGAGTTTCCTGAGTCGCTGGTGCGTTGCAATGATCTCCAACGAAAGTGAAATTGCTGTGAAATATCTGACAAATTTTCAGGATAAACTGGCATTGGCTGAGGGATCCCTTAATGGAAACCTAAAAAACTTTAGAATATACGATCTGACCGTTTGTCCAGAAGTCTATCAATATACGGAAACCCTGCACATTCGGGCCAGTAGTAATAGATTCTAGTTGCGTTAATACACGCTCGGTGGTGGAGGGTGAAGCGATTTCATGTAAAGTGTATACACTCACCGGCCCAAATAAATGCTGGTCAGGTTTGTTGAAAAGAACGTAAATAAAACAGCTCCCTTTGGACAATTCACTAACGGTGATTGTGTGCTCGGTGAGTTCCGAGGGAGTAAAGTTTTGTTCCATCTTCACGAAAAAGCTAGGAGAAGGCCATAATAATGTGTAACCAGCAGAGCAAAACACAGGAGAATCCAGGATGATAGGTTTACCACCAAAAGGTGTTCCGCATTCACTCGAAGATAAGCTAATATAACGCCATTAGAATCTGAACCTCTGAACCACACAGCTTTAATGACTATAACACATTCATCCATATAGGCGCTAATCATCACAAACTGACTGCATTCAGCTTTCAAAGTCACTTTTGTACCAATGAAGATACAGGTCTAAACGGCAAGGGCACCTTTGCCGTATATTCATACGGTCGGGGAGTATTACCGAACTGGTTGTATTTACAGTCACGTGCTCATGATAATTTGACAGAATGTCAACCAGTATTTGAATTTGGTTTTTGACGATGCCATCTCCCTGAGTCAGCGCGAATAGAATTACTTGCTAGTGATATAAAAGAATGAAAAACGATATGATCGAATCTCCTGATTTTCGCACACGCGAGAATGTGTTAAGTCGAACGTCTTGAGCAGAGAAAACAGTTATGCGTATCCATCAATTTATTTAATCAACCTACGAAAACAGCGAACATCATGGGATGGTTGACATTTTATTTTGAATCCAAGCCAATTTTGGTGTCACGCGGACCATAACTGAGGGTATGCATGTAGTGTTCAGAATGCAAACCATACCGAGGATTCCAGACACAGTTGGGTCCTGTGGATAATTTGTCACGAATCCAGCTCCACTGTCACCCTGAAATTATGAGCGAAAAGGCATTTCAAGCACTGAACTATCTGTCACGGGTGTAATCAATTTGTTTCCTTAATTGGAAGAAGGCAAATAGCCTCAACTTTCATAATACCTGTGATATGGCCGCTAATATTCGGAAGAAGATGTTCGATTCGCCTTCACTGCTTTACAGCAATAATTTACAGCAATTATTTTACAGCAAGTTATTGTCTGGAAAATCCTAGACCAGGCAAATTCAGACCAACACTGTGAAGAGACGTACAGTATGGGCAGGTTTCCCTATTAATCCCACACAATCCTGGTAGTTTTCTGGTAGACGAAGGAAAGTCTCTAAAAATATACTATTCCCGGATGTCACAACAGGACTGTGCTCGGTGTCTTCTATATTGGGAAGATTTTTGCTGAAACATGGAAGGACTATGGGGCATTTGGTTGGTAAGTGGATTAGAAAAAATAGGCCGGGTCAGTTATTTGGACGGTCAAACGAGTAGTCCTAAAATGAGGATTGGTACACGCAAAGTTAACCAAACAAACAGTTACGATTAAAATTTACCTTCACCGCACGTCTAGTTACATCGTCGTCAACGCAAAAGTTGTAAGTAGAATTGAACACATTGTATACTCCGTAGCTTTGAGCACATTTCTGTTGTGTCATAACTTTAAATGTGGCCACCTGAGCGGTGGTTGGGTATATGTCAGGATGCAAAAAGTACCCAAATCCAACAATGACACCCGCTTCATTCGCTTGTGGCAGCGTTGCATTTTTTGTCGTGGGGAGTTTTACGGTACTGACGTTGGGTCTCGTGAGATCGAATGGTGTGGATAATTTGAGGAGGGCGATGTCAAAGGTGGCTGTGTGAGGTGAAAATTAAATGAACCATGATGCGCACAAAAAATATGGCTGAATGATGCAACAAAACAAAGTGCACTGGAGTTCCAATCCATTCTAGATCTCGAGGTGTGAAACTGCATGCTTTTGTTCAAATTGAAACAAAATTTTGCTTGAAAAATTTTAAACACATTGGGACCTGCTAATCCCCTTATGAGCACCCCAATGTTTCGTCACGTGATATCCAATCCAAACATCTGAGTGAGGGAGCAGAGATTACGAGAGAATTCTGCCACATAACTTGTGTGATCAAATTTCTAATTTGAATTCCAATTAAAACAAGCTCTGCTAGATCACGGGTTCATTTGTGTAAAATAGTTGTGTAAAGTTTACTGAAGCAAAAAATCCGGATGACTGGTTGGTTCCCGAATTGAACTACATAATCTACTATGTGCTGTCTCGCTCCTAGCAGTTCTTTTATATGCCGACCATGTTGGATGTCCTAAACGAAAATCGATCTCTGGCGTATAGACAATGCTATCTCACATGTGTCGTCACCCCTATGGAAAGTCCGCTTTCATCTCATTACCCATGAAAGCTGAAATGTCCGGTCTATTATTGCAACATGGATGAAAAATGAACAAGCTCTGCTAGATCACGGGTTCCTGGACTGAGTACACAGACACCAGGCACCATTGACATTATCCATGGCGACACTGCGCGGATCCGCATCACCTAACAAAACCCGTATGGATTCTGCGATGGCACAGTAGAGGCCAAAGTGTTATCTCATCTTAAAAAATCAAGATTGTTGGCAGAACCCAAGTGACACTAATTTTATGCAAACCAGTGCATCTAAACCTGGTCTCTGGTTAAAGCGAAATGTAATAAGTATCCCCATTCAAGCCGCAAATACTACCGCTTCATATCAGGTTTTCCAAAGATCTGTCGTATCTCAGAAATAACCTATGTTGCTTAAAACATGGTTTGCGGTTGAGCAACCTACACTGCTCTGCCTGTTCAAGCAATGCTTCATAGTCACGTTGTGATTAATCCCCTCCACACCGTACCCAGCCGAATGTCGAATATTACTAAAAAGTCCACAATGCAAATTTGCTTCACTTCTAGAAGCCTGATAAATCTTCACTCACGATCTCCAGCAGTATAGTTTTCATGTGGATAACACGTGGGCGAGTGGGCCGATTGCATGTTCGTTTGGACTGCATTACTGTGGAAAATGAACAAAACAAGCCAATTAAACCGCATTCACCGTGTGATTCTGCAAAGAAATTCTATGCATTTGGAGAAGATTCAGTGCATCTAAACTGAATAAACATAAATAGGAAACATTTAACAAATTATGGACTAGAATTGCAATTGACTGCGCGCCTAGTTGATATTTGTGTGTCCAGTCTCGAGATATTCATCCAAGTGCTCAGTGCACCTCAGTTGTCGGATGACCACCTTGCTACCAAGGCATGGCTCGGTCGCTTCCACCTCGTTTCACACATCCATCTGGTCGTGCGAGGAAGATTCTACGAGGCGATTGGTCTGGTAGCACACAGAATACGTAACGAAGGCCGTGTAAATTATCGAGTGTGTTCAGCTGATTTATTGTGGGTGAGTTGTTTCTTCAGAAACGTATCCGAATTACTTCAACATTACTGATCCAATATTGGCACCGGACGGTGACTAAGCCACAAAAGTATCGATGGCCAAGCAATGAGAGATTTTAACTTCCTCAGCTCGCAATGGACAGGTTTCTAACATACGTGAAAATTGAGTGGACATCGCAGCATTCTCATTTCCGGCAGTGATTCAGAAACTCCTAATCCACAGCTGCCCTGAACTTACCGATCCGCATAATCTGTCAGACCACCTGGACTGACACGAGTCGTAAGGCGTGTCTACCCCTTCAATGAACTCATCTGCAAGAATGAGTTTTGGGTTTGATCCAAACCAGTTTGATTACCAGCTCCCGAAATTTTTCCCTCAGCTGATCATGAATTGGAATCACATAAATTATTTAATATAATATGCGTAATGATGGTCATCTGAGTGTCCAACAACGAGCAGAAAATTTTCTGAGAGAATTTCGACCACACAGTCATTAAGAGCTGCGACGGAGACGTTCATGAACCACAAATTCGCAGAGAAGATGTACGAGAGGACACTCGTTCGGGACCACATACGACGCAGTGTATCGGTGAATAATCACGGGAACGAGTATACGCTCAAAGATACTTGTTAGGTGCAATCAAGTGAGCGGTTTACCAGCAAAACATACAAATGATTACAAAGTAAACGTACGTGTAAGCAGTAAGTGCATCAACCTACAAAGGATTGGTCAGAATTATGGACGATTAACCTGGAATGGCACAACAGTGAACGAGATTCTGTACACAACTAACTTACCGCCACATTCGGGTTCCCTGCTTCAACAACCGAACGAACAATTTTAAGTTGCGCATCAACACAACAATGAGCAGCCGTTAATATCCATTTATTTGATAAGATATTACCAGAACAAGTAGATGCCTTCCGGTCACTCCACAAAGCAGTCAATTTCACCGCCCATTTGTAGGTGCCTTGGACTACGTTCGTACCACCAATTATACGTTTATCCACGTGTGCAACATCAACACACGTCAGACCTGAAATGGTGAAAGCAAACGACACGGCATAAATTAACTGGACACACGTTGTGTCTCACAAAGAGAGCAATGAAGGAGGATTTTTCGAAGAACATTGGGAACCAGTAGAAGGAGCTGAGATTGTGANAATATTAGGACCAGTAGGGGAGTTAAGCACTTCGGAAATCTGAAATTGATGAGAAAACAGACCTATCATCCACCAATACTCTATATACGCAAACTCTATTAAGAGAATGCTCCTAAAAGACATACATTTATGAGCTTGAGAATATAAAACGTTTGAGAGGTTATTCATGGTTAAACTAAGAGTGTTCGTCTCTATGCCTCATTCAGTAATACCGAAAAAATCCATTCGAATTGCGTGACCAATGAAGTGTCAGCATACGTCACGTGATACGCTACCAAAAGAAACGAACTCAAAGACGCAAAGCTCACAGATGGGAATACATGGTTTTTTCCTTCACAAGTACCAGATGACCTTTCAAATCTTGGCCTCCTTTTATATCCTTCTGTCTCCGAGGCAATCCTTTCATGGCTCGTTTTGACCACATACAATAGGTCAACATGACCTACAAGATTGTTGGTTGTAAGACATTCAACAATCCAGTGTTTCCTTCCCTCCGAGAACAAAGTAAACATCATATTTAAACAGTCAATTAGCTGAAAATATTTTCTTCAGTTGTGTTTACTTGTTGTCAGATTTGTAAAACTTATGGGAGGCGATTATTTGCTAATGTGTCTGGTCTTTTTGAAACATCGTTCTTCTCTAGTTATTTGCCCAAATATTTACGCTTGCGATGTATGCCCGAATACATCATACACGTACTAATGTGAACACCGGTCAATTATAGATATATTTGAATGATAATCTCAACCACCTTTTTGCTCAATTTCAGTTGAGTCAAAGGCAACAATACTAGGTGCATAATCGGAATGAATGAAATGAATGGGAAGACTCAGGGTAAACCGGGCGATTCCTATTTTCTTTAGTCCCCAGCTGAAAGCAAACATACATGAACGAAATGCGTATAGGTAGGAATTGAATGAGACACGGGTTTCAAAAGATGTCAGAATTGTGTAATATTGATTGAGTATACCGTTGCATGGGATTTCCACACCACGTCTTTCTCTACGATGAAACTAAGGCAAAGCGATTGTAAGTGAGTCGAAGAAACATTCGGAATCTGCTTATCGAATGCTGTCGGTGAGGCGGATTATTCCTTCGTTGCCACTCCTTATAGGCTGCGCTGACCTTACTCAAACTAATATGCGTGGTTGCAATTGGTCGCATAGATATTATGCGGTAATCTATGATCAACTCGCAGTTTGGTGTTCCACAGGTCAAAATTTGTCACGGTGATAGATGATTTCAATGTACAGCTCCGCCACCTTGGGTAACTTGCCGGTGGTGCTCGCTACGTCCATATATTGATGGCGAATATTAAATAAAGATGAACGCTCACCAGAGATCGCGGAGAGTTGCTACAAAGTTTTACCGAAGCTCATGCCGTGCATTTTATTTTTTGAGAAGAATTTTTT